TGGCGCTAGGTTAGCCACAGTGATATCGGAATGTTTTAATCCATTCTGTTTCAGAAACGCGAAATTTTTAAGGAACCTTTATGAAAGATCCGTCGATTCATTTTGATAGTTTTTATGATCTCTTAAATCACGGCAGTTTATATTAGTCGATTGCGAGTTGCATTTCAAATGTATTGCAAAAAAGGAAATATGATTGCGATCAATGATGATAATAAACTTGTTAAAGTTTTATTTTGCAGACTATTTGAAGGCACTGCTTCACACATTCACTAATATTCAAACGAAAATTGGCTGCCTGAACTGTAATATTGCAAGAAGTTGAAATGCTGGTAAAATTGCTACAATTTATACTATTGTTCAACTTTGTCCAGCACGCAGCTACGGCGAAAATCATCAATAATGGTCTCGCTCCGCCGGAAATTGTTCATTCACCAATCTCAACCAAACGTAAGTTTCACGAACAGACAAATCGCAATCATAATCACAAGTCGAGAAATTGATTTTTTCAAGAAAATTGCTATGATCGAATATTGTTTATTGACTAAATCTCCGGACAACTTAACGGTTACAACTGAGAACGAAAGTCTACGAAGGAATATTATGTGACTAGCGATTTATCACCACTGATTTCGTTCCAATGCAATTCCCTTTCATAAATTGGCGACTGCCTCATAAATGGCTATGAATTTTTCAAGTTTCAAGGCACTTTTCTGAAAGATTTGCAAATTTTGCAAACTTCTCAAACGCAATTGCTTGTTATGCAATAGAGTAATGAAAAGGATGCATCCATCCGATTGCCTGGGGCATCAATCGCTGCTTCCTTCTCACTTTCTCATCTTCAAATGTTTACCAACTCAACCGAAAACTGGTTTCCTTTTTCGTGATGCTAGTATTATAGTAGAATGAGACGGGGTCGCATCATTAACCATATGAATGAATACAATAACATATTCGTACAGGAATATAGAATGGAAACAACATGCTAACGCATCGGTTTCTGAGAATATGCACAACTTTAAGACAATTCAAGTCAAACATCCATATAATTTTGTTTTTGGAAATTTATAAACAGTATGTGTCATCGTTTTATATTGTGCACGTTTTATATTCACACATATTTCCAAAGCATGTGAATCGTGTTATGAGGTGTGGAAATAAAGTATGCAAAAGTTTTTGGTGAAATTGTGTGATAGCGGTCAATACCAAGAAAATATACTGTACGCCGGTCAGAAGTAGGACACATAAGCGAAATTCAAGAGTCTAGTCTTTTGCTCATCGCAGGTCAAAATCTCTGCTCAACGAACCTCCAGCTTGGTCGATTGTTCCCTCCAGACTGACAATATCTGGTGGAAAGTAATTGCCAGTTTCAGCTCGATGTGCCGTTGAAGCTAAGCCGCTCGATTTGGTCTTCATCTTGGATAGTTCTGGCTCTTTGAAGAATAGATTCCAAGATGAAATCGATGTTATCAGACGCATTGTTCAACACGTTACGATCGGTGAACAAGCTACCCGAGTCATGCTCATACAATTCAGGTAGTGACGTTGATGAGCTGACCTTCAACTCAAAAAACCACTCATTCAGTGCTAGTTCACTGCTTAGAGAGCCAGCCATCCTCTAAAATATCTTTCAACTTCATGCACTTATCTTCGAGATCATCCACATATTGTAACCCAGTCATAAAAAAGAGTTTGTACCGACAATCGCGATATTGTACACATAACTGACAAGTTGTATCGTAATCCGTTTCGTTGAGAACAGACTGGAAATGAGGATTGATTCTTTCACTTATCTCCTTCCTATCTACTCTGCTCAGTTTATCCAATGCATGGGCTGTCCGTTTGCGATGAGAACTGGATCTTAATTCGATTAATCACTTCGTTCAGAGAAGTATTTTTTGGATGATTTGTTGTATTGTAAGACTGGGGAATGCGAGTGATTTCTGTTTGATATTGATGACAAGATTTAGCGATATCTGATGACCAGTTCAAGCGATATCCGAAGAAATTTTAAAAAATATCGAACTTTTTTCTCAACCGTGAAATTTCTGCTGATTGTTCGATGGTTGAACATCCGTTTCCAGTGATGTTTTTGAGGAAGCAAATTAGATCTGAATTTAGATAAGTCGGAGCTGGAACCATTCGTAAGTGCTCAGAGAAATCTTTCAAAACGTTGTCCAATCGAAACATGTTCTGATGATCAGCATATTCAAAACATTGAAAATGGAAGCAAAATTAGGGAATATCATTGACG